GCAGGATATGGAAAAGTGATATAAGTTATATCTCTTTGAAAGTGATATATATTATACTATTTATTTGTTTCAAATACTTATAAAATACTTAAAAATTAATTAGAAAATCCACAGAAATTATCAAAACCTTATAGCAGAATTATTCTGAAAAGATTGTTTTTGGGAACGGCTCACCCTTCTTGATAATCGAAGGATTAAATGTCATTAAGGATGTTGATGCTCTCCTAATCGAAACCATGATTAAAATCTAATCTGTAATTACTCATCAGTAATAACTGAATTTGTATTCCAATTAAATACAAAGAATTTCTATTTTTCAAAGCAGATCTTAAATGCTTTTAATTATTTAGGCAAATAAAATGTAAAGGGTAGTTACTTTCTATTAAAATCTAGATAATGAATTCCAATTTTTTTTATGATAATTTATAAGACATCAAAACTCTATCTATCATGCTCAGAACTGTGATTCTCTTTTTATGATAGCGAGTGTTGAGACGAATAATTCAAATTCTAAAAAAAGGACTTATGATCAAACTTCAATGTATTATTATTTTTATTTTAAACAGTATTTTCGTCAGTCTAGTCTGTTAATTATGGACGAAATAACTTCATGCACTGAAAACGTGATATAGAAGTGACAGATAATGTACAATAGATAATGTAGTAAAATAGATAATGTAAAACTAAAATTAAATATTGTCAACAATACTAATCGCGCGTGTAAGGTTATAAATATAAAAATATTGATACATATTTATTCTGGCGCGTTTTGTCATTCAGTCGAGCGCGAGTCTCGAAGTAGAAAGTGAAGTAGAAACAGAAGTAACTTTTAAGATTTACATGAAAATAGGTGATGATTGTATAGGAATATCTTTCGGTATTTCTCCAGAAAAATGTAATTTTTAATGAAATCATCAATGCATTTGCAATATCGTATACGATTTTAAGGTTCATTTAATATCGCTCATGATATTCTAAAAAAAACTACTCCTTGATGCAATCTTAAATAATGTTGATACAGCAAAATTTCTTAGAGCTTGTTTCTCGATTATTCATTATTGGAATCACGACGGAGCTAATTGAAGAGCGTCTTTGATCAAAGATACCACTCTATGGTTCTGATCTGCCTTATCTAACGTTTGGCGTAGTGGGCAACGGACAGCACCGCAGATATATACATCGAGTTCTTCGGTACCGAGGCAATCTTCTGATCCTTCAAGGAAACTGGTTGCAAAAACCTTGGTTACACGTACAAACTGAATCGCGGAATATCTCACGACTCCGCCGTCAATTTGCGTAACAAGCAAAGCGAAATTATTCTTCTGTCTAAGTTCCTCTCTTTAACGAGATATCGAAGGAAAATCACCGTATCTATACGTTATCCGAACGAATTTTGCATTAAAGTTTAACTCGTAGTTGATTACATTGTGCAACATAGTATAACATCTGCGTACCAATTCAGATTAGGGAATCCTCAATTTGCGTCGCATTTAATACTTAATTGGAACATTTCAAATCATTATAGTGATAGCATATGGCATTTGCTGTTATATCGAAAGCAATTAAAAAGAATATTAAGAATCTTTACACTGCATATGTGAGAAACACAATCAATACTAGAAATTTAAAATGCCTACGGTCGAAATTGGATCTTCATTGCTTTAAATAATTCAATCTTGAATTACTAATATATGTACTTGCATATATATCATATTGTAGTATTAAAACTACTCTCGATAATATAAAAAATATTATCTCAGTCGGGACTTTTTAAATTTGGATCTCTTATATTCCATATGAGTGTTCTTCAGTAGGCTTAAGACACTCGTACAAGAGATTCGGACTCAAGTCCTGACCGAGATAATATTTTTCGCAATAAACTTATTAATAGTTTTAATATCTTTATAATATGATACTTGATAGTATCAAATTATTAAAATTGTCAATTTAATTCATTACTAGAGTAGTTTTAATTACGTTTATAGTCCAGAAAAACAATTCGACGCGCAGTTCAAAAAACTACAATATAGTACATATGCAAGTACATATATATATATATATATATATA